TTTATTAAAAACATAGTCTATTAAATCTTTTAAAATTCTGAAGCGATGGCAATTATTGGCTAAACACTAGGAACAAGTATCTATTTAGGGAGTAGCAGCAGTTTTGACAGCTGCCTCCCTGACAGCACAAAGGGAGCATTTTGTCAATTCACTCAATGTTCAGTGGGAGGACTGGAGTCCATTAACAAAGGAGAAATCTCAGTGCTTTCAAAACAAGGGCTCTTGTTTTCTCCCCGGTTTTAGGCAGCTACTAAAAGAGAGATAGCTGAGTGTGGCCTGGTTTATATGGCTACTTTGTAATGAAATTAATTGTATCCCAGAAAACTTTAAGAATCCCACAGCAGAAGATCAGGTTTTGATAATGTTATTTTCCCTCTTATGAACTAAAATACTTCAGGAAAGTTAATTTAATTAAAAATTAGCATGTTGTCTTGCACAATTACTTATATTCTAGATTCTGTCCAAATTCAGTGTGATAATATTTTTACTTATAATTAGCGATTCAGCAAATAAGCACGTCAGATGTTTTGCTAGAATATGGCTATATGTATATAAACCAAGTCACTGTATGAATGTGAAATTTCCACTTTCTTTTCTAAGAACAACACTGTATCTATTTGCATTTATGCTCAGTTTCTAATCTATTGGTTCATACCATAAATAAAAATACATTTTTCCTTAAAAACATGAAAGGGAGAGAGCTTCCAACACAGACTCTGGCCAGCAGTGAGCACCTGCGGGAAGAAAATTCATCCTGATTGCCAAGTACTTCTGGAAGGAAGGTCAGCTGCACAACCACAATACGCCATAGAGAAACCACAGGTAGAACAGACACACTTTTTTAAGAATAGGTTACATGTTTGCTAAGTTAAAGCTGCTTTGATTTAAAGTTGCTTTGATTTACCTAATGTCAAGCTGGCTGTAGGGCATAGCAAACCCTTATGCCAAAGGGAAAAAAACCATCCAGAATGCAATACAACACCAGATCCAACTGTACAAGTCACATGGGACCCAGATTAGGAATAGTAAAAGGAAGATTTAGACCCACCCCCAATAACCTGAACAGAAAAGCAAATTCAGCACTTCATGCCTACCATTAATGGAAACTCACTGACACAGGCCTATTATCGCTAAGAGATGTGTGACAGAGAAGCAAATGGAAAATAAATCTTCACTAGGAAGCACAGAGCTGAGGTTGTGAAGGGCAGAAAGAGTGAGGGAGGAAATTTTTTTAACACTCAGTTCACACCTCTGGTAATGCTAATGTCCACAAGTTGTGGCATTCTAGCTCCTATTAGGAGAGCAGGAGTGAAGTCTGTGGGATATGTCAACATAACTGGGAAACCCCTGTAATACTGAAGGTACCAAACAATGATAAAATTCAAAATGAAAATAATCTTCAATTCCAGGCTAGTACCTTGAGCTGATGATAGTACAGATCTTCTGGCTTTCAAGCGTACCTGCCCATGCTGTCTCACATCCAGATTTCTAGAGACCAAAATATTTATAAAACCTTGCTCTAGCAGCTGGCCAGAAATAATGGGGGAGTGCATGTACACAGAACAGCACCTCTGTGCCCTAATCTATTCTCACTGGTTTTACTGGACTATGAACCTGACCCCAGAGCATCCTACATCATCATTTGAAATTACATCCACACCCTTGCCAACACACAGTTTTCTAAAAGACCAGGTCAGTCACCACCAGACTAATGACCTTCTGTATTAACACATTACTTTAAGAAGAAAAACAAGCAAGAAACTCAGATTCTGAGTTAAGCTTTGCACAATGAGGGACAATATGCCAAAAGACATGTAGAAGTTTCACTGAATTCAGTACAGTAAGAATTTCATGCTTCTTTATTCTGTGGGAAGCACTACAGTCAGGTAAAGTGAGAAGAGCATAATTAAAACATAAGACATCTCCAACTTTAAGTCCCTTTGTAGCTTCACACCAATGCATATGCAGCAGAATGAGGCAGGAAAGCAAAACAGACTCATCTTTACCAATCATATCAATTTAACAAGAACATACAGAAAATCTAACAGAATGCATTATACAACAAGTGGTAATCATCATTTTACTTTGTGAAACTTCTTAAAGCAGATGTTTCAAGCAAATGTATTTCCTACAATGTTTGAAAAACAAATTTAGGTGAATACAGTCAAACCCCATGCCACAGAGTACTGCCATGCAGCTAGACACTGTTCTAGTACTTACCCATTTGGCTAGAGCTTCTTTGATAGTTGTTGCTTTGGCCTATAAATGAAATAAATTTAAGTGAATATTCATTGCAAATTTATAATTGGCTTGTGCACTGCAAATCTATTTCCTCTCCCTTCTCTCTCCCTATCCTGCTTGTCTATCCCCTTCTACCACTTTCCTGTATTGTCTTGCATCAGCTGAGGTGAAGAAGCTGGAACCCCTTAGCATCCCATAATTTTGTTTTCTGAGATACTTGGCAGCATTCTCAGAAGCAAACGATGGTCTTAATGTCACAGCATTATCTTCCTGATCTTACTCTCTGCCCCATGGGACACTGCTTGGTAGCTCTGGTGGTGAAATTCTATTCAAAGGCATAAGAAGCTACTGCACTGAAAATTGTGGTCTAATGCTCTTAAACCCTCCCAACTTTCTATTGTGCATTAGCCACTTCCTGTTTGAAAGCAAGACAGGATGATACAGCCTCTTCGGATTCACTGAGGAAAATGAGGTACATCTTGCCAAAACTAAAGAGCAATCTGGATTGTTTATATTTGGTGTTTCTTTCCAACTGCTTTGCATAGAGTTGCATCATACGATGTGAAAACGTATGTTTTCACATACATGTGAAATATTATTGAGTTTGAACATATTATTCAGTTTGGAAAAATCTGAGAGCTGCTGCACAAGGCTTTTTAGGGACTGACCCACTGACCAACTTTCTGTTGACACTAACTCCAACTTTTCTGTCTCACGTCAGAGTCTTGTAAAACCACATGAAGATATCCAAAACAGTAGTGTATATAAACAACATGTTAAATGCCTCTCTAAACACTAAACATATTTCAAGATGTCTTTTGGATTAAAAAGGTTTCAGAGACCAATCTTTCACAAACTGATCGACAGCCTCCTTTGTACAAATACAGGAGGACTCTAGTTTTGGCATCTCTGTTGCTCTTATGTGTAGCACTACACATGGGGATAAAAGCAGTCTTTCAGGTAACCAGGTATACAGAAAAACCCTACTGTAAAAGTTAAACCCAACAAACTAACTTCCACCCAAAATCTTACAGGCAACCACCTCAACCACAGAGCTCTAGTGTTGGGTACTTTGGCACTGGAAACGCTGGTCCCAGGGCAAAAGACAACAGCTGAGGCAGCTGCATATAAAAAATGGCCACAGGCACTGAACACCCAGCAACTACCAAGACCCAGCAACCCCAGGGAGCCTGAGCATGCACCTCAAACACCAATATACACCTCCACTTAGACGTGTATCACTGGGCATCCTGAGATGTTTCAGCTGCTTCTGCCCATTGACGGGCATTTGTTTCAATCTGGTCTATACCAACTGATAGCTAGCTCATGGCTCCATTGGGGATGACCAGGCAAACTTGTGCCAGGCAGCATCTCCTCAGTGTCTGCCACAGATAAACAGCTACACGACCTCCTCCTGTTTAGAAGATCACATCCTTAAGTTCCCATTCCAACAGCCTCATGCAATCCAACTAACAGCTACCAATGTACCAGCAAAAACAGCTGGCTTCCAGTTAATGGGGTTTTACGGACAGAACTTCATTGCTGTTTTCGTAATTACAGCAGTCAATCAGTACAGCACTTGGGTACGTGATCTTGGTCACTCATGTTGAAGGCAGAAACGGATTTATATGACCAGTATATGCTTCTAAGTCATGCCTAAAACCAGACTGGACTCTAAAGCTAGTGATCCATGTGAGCACAAGAAGCAGCTTCTTCCCTGACCTCTGCTGACTTATCTCTGCTGAGTTGCTGGAAACACGGACATCAGCACAGTGGGTTATTTGGAGAACTTATGCCAGGGATTTCATTCTCTTTGAGGTGTACTTGAAATTTCTGTAGATAAATAAGAGTATCTTCTGCCAACCAAGATTACCTAAAGGAAACTTCCCTCTGAGCAGTTAATTTTCAGGGTTCCTCTACCTGCATATCGAACAATTTTCTACAGGTATTTAAACTAAAGAAAATCATAATACTTAAAATACTCAAAATGCTAAGTGATCAATTATCACCCTGAAGAGTCACCATCAACATGGCAGAAAAAAGAAACAAAATACCTTAAGGGGAAAAATAACCACGCTTGTATTATAATAGTTATAACAAAAAGTATTTCCACTCCCTAAACATGGCAGACTATTTACAAAATTTAGACCCCCAGGAAAAAGCAAAACAGCGACACTTCGCCTTAATTTGCAAACATTTATTTATATGTTCAATAGAGGAAATCGGAATTGCACAGAAACCGATAACAAGCTAATCGCTGCAGCGACTGCAGACACTGCTGCCTTAAAAACGCTGAGGTTTGCGCACGATGACACCCCCGACTCCCCGCTTCCTTCGCCCATCCCGAAGTCCCCCTTTCCCGAGGCACAGCATCAGGCCGCCCCGCCTCAGCCGGCCCCGAGCCCCGCGCTGTCCCCCGGGCAGCTCCCGTCGAGCCCGGGCTGCTCGGCGGGGCCCGGCGCGGAGGGCTCCGACACCGCCGGCCCGGGCACCGCTCGGCAGCGGCCCCGGGGGGACGCCGCTCACACACCGCCCGCGGCCCCGGCCCCACCGGTGCCGCTCCGTCCCGCTCCGTCCCGCCGCCCCGGCCGCCCCCGCCGCAGGACCCACCATGGTGCCGTTGCTACCGCGAACGCTCCGGTTGCTACGGGCGCGGGAACGCCCCGGCCCGGAACTCGCGTCGGGGGCGGCGGCCGCGGCGCCTTGTGGGACGCGGCGGGGGCGGTGCGGGCCGGCCCGGGCAGCGCGGCAGCCCCCGAGGGAGGCTGTGAGGCCTCCCCGAGGTGGCCGGTGCAGCTGATCCAGCCCCCTGAGCACTGGTCCCAATGGAATGTGATGTGATGGGGGTTTTGCCAGGCAAGGAATTACTGTGTCCAGCACTGGGCTCCTCATTACAAGAAGGAAAAGAAGCTACTGGAGAAGGGCCAGTGGAGGGCCATATAGATGATTACGGGTCTGGAGCATCTCTTTTATGAGGAGAGACTGCAGGACCTGAACCTGAATAGTCTAGAGAGGAGAAGACCGAGAGGGGATCTCACCAGTAGCATATAAGTATCTCAAAGGTGGGTGTCAAGAGAATGGTATCCAGCGACAATGGCCACAAACTGAAACACAAGAAGTTCCATCTCCACACGAGGAGGAACTTCTTTACATTGAGGGTGGCAGAGCACTGGCACAGGCTGCTTCTCTGAAAACATTCAAAACCCACCTGGACACATTCCTGTGTATCCTACTCTAGGTGACCCCTTCTAGGCAGGGGGTTGGACTAGATGATGCCCAGAGGACTCTTTCAACCCTAACAATTCTGTGATTCTGTGCATGTAAACCAATATAAATAATGTGGCTTTAACTAAGGCCGCAGTCAGACACTCAGTTTAATGTACACTTCAGGAAACAGCTGACACTTCAGTGTCAGCAATGCGTCTTTGGTCCCCAGGTACAACTGTAAATATACAGAATGCTAGTGCAAAAGTTGGCTGGTTTTCTACAGGCCCTTCTATGAATTATTTTGTCCAGGAATACCCCGACCCATTCATTAAAGGATCCTCACAGTAAAATGACATTCTTTTAATCTCCTTTTTAAACAAATTATCATTCAGTTTTTCCAAACAAATGAACTATTCAGAAACAAAAATCTAACATCAAATTCTTACACAAGGTTGCTTTTCAATAAAGTGGTTTACTTCTCTTTCAAATTGCATATATCTGACAAAATCTAACACTGAATTATTTTAAAGGCTTGTGCTTTAGAAATTAAGTCTGAGGACTCTTAACCTACCTGGCTTTTATTTACAAATTAACATTTACTTCTTGATCCTCCAGACTGCAATCTTGCATAGCAATGCATATGCTGAGGTAGGACTGCAGTGTGGAGACACAGGTATTAGCACTGGGAGAGTGACAAAACAGGGTTAGGGGAGGTGCTGCTCTTGCACAGTTAATTACACAGCTCCGACTACTGAAGATGCAAAGGACAAGGCAGAAAGACAAAAAGAAACCTTCAGACAACCCTCTCCTCTATGGTTGCCACTTGGAATGAGTGGCAGGGTACCAAGTATCAGTGACGCCAACAAGCACATCACAGCAGGCTCTGATCCTGGACTTCGGGGGCTGCTGGTGTTAGCGGATGTTCAAGCACCAGATATGACTTGGCAAAAGCCTCTTCAGCTGGTGAGGAAGTTTAGAGACTAGGTATGAAGACATCTTATGTGGAGTTAGCAGGATGGAGCTTCTCTTCTAAAGAATCGTAAAGGTGGATAAATTGTTCGGTTGGCATTGATTGCGTGTAAAGAACATGTGACTTTAATCAAATGATAAGGAGTAATAAGTTGCAGAAAGCTAGTAAGGCCTGAGCAGCAGCATCATGACGGTTAACTGGAGGAAAGAAGATCCCTGAGAGCAAAACAAAACTGAGTACCATAAATAAAGGTTTTGTATCTTCCCGGGCAGCTCTCAAAATGGTCTGACAAAATGACTTTGGAAGGAGAAATTGCTTTAATAGAGGTCCTCATTAAACCCGGCACCATTTCAGCAAGACACTCTCAAGAGATCAACTCATTTGGGAAGAAGTTGTTTCTTTCTACTTGAATGGTAGGGAATAATAAGGTACTAGCCAAAAATTAACTAGGATGAATAAAACCAATCTCAGGCAGTGATGGAAAAGATATCCTAGATTTGGGTTTAGGTTTTTTTTGGAGGGCACTGTTAGTTTGGTTGGGGTTTTTTTTTTAGTTCTTTTTTTAAGAATTATGACTCTTAAGTTAATCATTGCCATAAGGTGACAGCTTTTTACAGTCAGTTTAAATCTTCTACAGGCAAGGTTTTCTCTCAGCATTCCCTAAGAACAAGCTTTCTCCCTAAGAACAGCTCTCAGCATCTGTTGACATCATTACTAAAAAGTTCCAAGAGTAATTAATCCCTTACTTACTGGCTGCATTTAGCCATGCTCTAACCTATCTGACAGAATACTAATACCCTGAGTGTCAAATGCCAATCCAAGACATTATAGGAACAAATAATTACATCCCCAATACAACTCAGTGCTAATGTTGCCATTCTCCCTGGATGACAGGAAAAGTACTCTTCATTTTCTCGTGCTACAGGAAGTTTTTCTTGGAAAGAAACAGCCTGTGTCACCACAAGACCACTACCTAAGGTATATTAAATATACAAGCCTCATTGCAAATAGAGGTCTCCAGCTTCCTGCAAATAGAAAATATTTCCAAGGTGTATATGGCTGTAAATCTGAGTTCCAGGCCAAGGTAACTGAGGACTCAAAGACAGAATCATTCATCATTCTGATGTCAAAGTTTATCATCCGTCATTCCCCAGGGGTGATCCTGTCTGTCACTGCTGAGGGTGCACGCTGGCTGTGAACATTCTCCAAGTCATAAATACCGCAAGCAAGCAAGTACCTACTACTCCCTTCGGATACTGTTTTCTTCATCTCACGACCACTTTGGGCTATCAAAAGCTATCAAAGGCAGTGCAGCCTGCTTATTGTTTCACTTCTCCTTTGTGTACCTAGTTAAAATAACTTAGGCTGATCCAAATAAATCTCCCTTTTTTTGATTTATACTTGTAGCTAAGTAGTCATTTGGTTATTTCACATTTCAAGGTTTTTCTCAGTCAGTCCCTCCAATTCACCAGTCATTTTGGTGGCTCAAGTTCAGTCCTTGCAGTTCTGCAACAGCTTGCATGTGCATAAATGTTCATCCCAAATGCAAGCGCAGAAACTCCTGAATCTTTCCCCAGGAGTGTTCCTGTGCATGGGCATGTGCTTTGCTCTCTCCACCCCCCAGAACAGGTACCCCCAAAACACGATCCATAGCTATGTGACAAAATGGAGTAGAAGGAGGATCAATTCGGTGACCTGCTCCTGGATAACTCAAGAGTTCAAAGTTCTCCTTCCCATGCTGGCGTAGACGCCTGATTGCCAGGTCAGCATATAAGGAGCTCTTCCACATCCGATCATCTTCCCCTACCACTAAGAGAAAGTGTCCTTCTGCTTTTTCAATGGGGATCGTGCAAGGAGAATTAGCAGGATTCGTTGGGTCTTCCAGAGCTTCAAAAACATCAAATACACCAGTGTCAGAGACACTGACCTTGTTCATATCAAAACGCAGCCCAGGCAGAGTGATATCACCGTAATGGAGGTCTGCAACTGTGTTTGAACTACAGCCAGAGATAGAGACAGCAGCCACGACTTCTGGCAGGAAGGTGATCATGGAGAGTGCTAATTCTGCCCCTTTTCCAGTCCCAATCACTCCAACTCCTGGTCCTTTCACCTTCAGATAAGATAGGGGTTGGAGAAGAGAGGAAGAAAAGAATAAAGGAAGTATGTATTACAATGGGATTAGCCATTAAGTGACTTTGGAGTTGTGTTACTAAAAATGGGAAAGGTTAGGTTAATTATTGATGTGACCTGTTGGAAAGCTACAGCCTGGACTCAAGCTCCTTTGTCTGTTAACTGTCTTATTTTTCAGAGACACCAAGAGCTGTCAAACCCCACAGAAAATCTTAAAGGCAGGCACAAGATGTACCATCACTTGATCCTCATCTGGGCCCTACTGCATCTGTTGATACAAAATTTTTCTCTTTTTTCCAAAACAGGTAGCAGGAAATTCAAGCACATGTGTGCCTCAGGCAAATAAAGTAACCTTACAAACTGCATTTGAAGGATTAGGTAAGTAGCATTTAATCTTGTCTTTTTCTAACCTGGAAAGTAAAACTGAAAGCAGCATCCCAAATCATCGACTCCATTATTTCAGTGACTATTGAGCAGTTTTGTATCATCCTCCCTTAAGCTAACAGCTTTTATTAAAAAAAAATTATCATCACTGCTCCTGTTTGGAGGACGTTCCAGGACTTCACTACCCTAATGATCAGCAGTCTTTTAGTTTCTAGCATGAATTTATTTAACAGACAGTTCGTGCTGGAATAAATTCACTCTCACAGTCATATGCATAGCCACCTATGCAGGGTCTACAATTTTCCCAGTATTAGGCCTAAACCTGCCCAGCAGAAACTGATGCTCCCCCAAAAAAAAAAAAGTCAAAACCCAATCACCACCACCACTTGGGCATGACTGCTGAATCCTCCCTTGTCCCAAGAGATCTCTCATTACACTCACTTTTGGGTGACGCTGTAGGAATCTAGCTGCCTCCTCAAAGTACTCCAGTTTGAGTTCTTTCAGAACCTTAGGAAGATCTTCAAAGTCAAAATATGGCAGAGAAAGAGCAGCAAAACCACGGGTAGCCAGGAGACTGGATCTAAGTTCAATCAAGCCTCCTTCGTCACCATACATGTCAATCACTCCTGGAAAGGGGCCATCCCCTATATTAAAAGAAGTGGTATAGAGGACAAGTTAACAAACAGGACACTAAAAACTATCTGGTGAAGAGTGAACAACAAAATATAGAATGCTTAAGACATTTGCTATTAATGCTCATTACTTTTCCATTTGCCCAGCAGAGATTAAGAGAACCAGCACTGTATCCCATTTCAGCTATTTCAAACTAAGAATAGGTCCTTAAATGCCTGCAAAAATATGTGAAGTTAGATTTTCTTTTCTTTAAAAAAAAAACCAAAACAACTGTTCTAAATGTATTTTTCAATGGTCTTAACCTTCTGCTTTCAGAACAATCATACCCTAAGTCTGCTATTTTCCCCACAAATATGTCACATCTTAATTAACAAAGCTCATGAATAATGAGCAAAGAGCACTAATCCCTCAAAGTCAATTCTACAAAACTTACATAAACTCTGGAATAAACTGCATTGAGTAAAGCACAGCAAAGAGACACCCATTGCTAAACAAAATCAACTGGACTTACTAGCTCTATCTCAACATCAGCACTGTAACACTTGGTAGGAGAACTGCTACTGCAGATGTGACGAGACAGAGGGTAAAACTGAGACCTGTATGGGTGTGGTTACACGTGCATGACTGATATACAGATAAAGGTACACATACGTGTGTACAATTTGTCCCACAAAACTACAGAAATAATCAGAACTGCAATTTTAAACAGCCATGTGTTTGCAGCCAAGGTTGTGTTGTACCATGTTTGTATGCCAAGCCAGCAGATCTTGGGTTAAAAGGCTAAGGATACTACCTTGTGGAGTTATAAAGACCCCAAGCAAGCAATTATTTTCTTCTTTTTTTCACTGGCCACAAGATGTCACCTCTGATGTACCTGGATCCAGCTCGCTACAACCATCTCACAAAAAGGACCTGCTTGTGCAAGAGAGTGCGAACTCTCTGATGTTACCTGTATGCACTAAAGAAAAGACCTCTGACTTCAACACACTTGGGAAAAGGAAGTTTTGGACAAGACATGCTAGATGGTGGAAACCTCCTAAATCAAACCATTAGGAAGTCAGAAAGGGACTGAACCATGCTTTTGGGTTCTCTCTCTTTCAGTTCTGATCTTTTTTTCATAGAAGTTCAATATTCTTGAGAGAAAATATGTTGGGATAAATTTATCATAATGCCATGATCAACAGTAACCTTTGGTTAACAGCAGTCAGCCTGCCTACATGGCTGGAAAATATGTAATTCATTTATCATGTAATTCATTTATCTAGAAAGCCCAGAAAGCTTTCTAGCAAGAACATGTATTCAGAACACAGGCAAGCATGACTGTTTCTCTCACGAAGATAAACTTATATAAGGATCCTGGACTGCCTTCCTGAGTGCCTACACATACCCAAGTATAGCTTCTGCATAGCTCACTAAAAAGCAGGATAAAATGGGCTAGACAACTTTACTACCATTTAAAAACAAAGAAACAAAACCCCACACCTGCAACTCTTATGCCTGAATTAAGAATTTTTTCATATTAAAATTACACCATAAGCCCACTCACATCATCTCACTTTTACTAAGAATGGTTCACATTTAAGATTCCTATCTTAACAGTATCTTAACGTTTCTTTGTCCCTGGAGCAAAAGAGGGTAGTAATTATAGTAGTAATGTCATAACTCGATCCTCCATCAAGAGGGATGCCAATATCATTTAAGCAATGACTCCAGACTTTTCCACACCATTACAATGCCAAACTTTCTAAAGCAGAAAATACAATTCTATCTTGCAGATCTCTGGATTTCCACTGAGCTCAGCATAAATCAAACTCATCCTCTAAGGCAGGATTGCAAAACAATCATGTCTCAGAGATGGAAAATCCAGCATGCTGACTAAACATCTGATATTCAAAGTTCAATCTCTGTTGTTGTTTTTTTCTTCGGTGAACTTTGGATCCACATCTAAATAGATTAAAAAAATATTGGTTTGGAAATTCACTGAAAACAATACCTAATAGTGTAGCGATACTTACAGGAGTTGCCGAACCAAGTAGATTTAAATTAGAGGTAATGTGAAGGGCAGTTCCAGTAGCATAACAGTCAGGAACTACAAGAAGTTTAGATCATGGTTAAAGCGTACAAACGACATCACTGGTGTAAAGTTTTGTTTTCCGATACCACTAGCAGACCATCAGAATAACACACCTCATAAAGCACAACCATTCCACAAGCAAAACAGGCAGAACTTGCTGATAAATCTATTTTGCCTGTTCACCACAAAACTAACACAGTTACTAACTCAGTGTTGGCTCCGATGTAACAGAGGGGGAATAAGTGTATTTTCTAGAAGCTCTTCTGTTGCTTTGCTTACTGGCATGTGTTTAACATGGACGAAAAATGCCTCTGATTCAATTCTACTTAAGGTAAAATCCTTGGGACATTTAGCACAGCCTCACACAATGAAAAACGCATCAACTTTTCTGAACGTTACAGATTCTGGTAGACCAGAACATTCAACCTACTGAAAAACCGCAGACAGAGCACAGCGATGTAGTAAACTCTAGAACCCCTGTTCTCCTTTAGCTCCTTCCCGTCCTGCGAGAGCCGCCTGCCCCGTGCCTCCGAGAAGGACCAGGACACGCACAAGCCGGACCCTGTCCCGACAAGCACTCGGGAGCATCTCCGTAAGGTTTCAAGGAAAAAAACCGGCCACCTGTCTGCAGGAGGGCGTTCGGCTCACTGACGGAATACCGATTCCGCGGGTGGCAGATGTATGTTCTTGTTCTGCGAGACCTTGCCTGCTCTGGTCAGAGAAACCGCGGGGTTCCGCCAGCCCCGGGGCGGAGGCCTCCGGCCGGGACACTCACCCGGCGGCAGAAAGAGGGAGCCCCTTACGACTCCTTCCTTCAGCCGGATCCTCCGCACGCCGGGGGCCGTGAACCACCTCTCCACCTCGGTCTTGGCCACCACGGGCCCGGGCATGGCACCCGGCGGGCTGTGGCCCTGGTGCACCAACACCTCCACCTTCATCGGGGCGTCGGTGCTGCGGGGAACGAGCCGCTGGTACGGCCGCTCCATGGCGGCGGGGGAGAGGCTCCAGAAGAGCCCCATGGGCTCCACGCCGGTGTAGTCCCCGCCGTGGGAGGCGTCCGTGCCCAGGTGCAGCTCCCCGCGGCTGTCCGCTCGATAGTGCGCGCACGACTGGAAGAGGCAGCCGCGGTCACCGGCCGCCAGGGCCCGCAGAGTCACCGGCTGCCCCGGGCTCAGCCCCGTCACCCGCGTCTCCACCCGCTCGTCGGCCGGGCCGGCGGCGGGGGACACGGCCAGGCTGGCCGCCCGCTGGGGCGGCCGGGCGCGCAGCAGGGCCCGCGCCGGGGCGGCGGGAGCGGCGGCGAGCGCTCTCCACATGGCGGCGGCGGAGGCTGCGCGGGGCGGCCGCGCCGCCCGCAATATCGGTACCGCGGCGGCCGCCCCCTCCAGGCGGCCCCAATCGAGAGCAGAACCCTCCCCGCCCCCGGGAAAGACCGTCAGCCTCGGGGCGCTTCCACCCCTCCCAAACCATCCAACCGGCAGGAGCAGCGAGCCCGGGAAAGGCCGCCAGCCCCGGGCCGCTCCGCCTCCACCAAGCCGTCCAACCGAATGAGGAAGCGATCCGTGGGCAGCGGCTAAAGTTTCGCTTTAATCTATTACAAACACAGGGAGTGTAAAAGCCCGCCTGCCGCACGGGGAGCAGCCGAGGCTGGATGCGGCCCGTGCGGGCTGTCGGGCACTGAGGGGTACAACGTGTTGCGATACTCGAGCGCGAACTCGCCGGACACATCCAGCCTTCTCCTCCAACCCCGCGCCTCGGTGCCCAAGGTTCCCGAGGATCCCCGGCGGGGCTGACAGCTCACCCCCCGCCCCGCTGCCCAGAGAGGACCAGACAGGCAGCAGGAGTCCGGCTCCGGCACAGCACGGCAGCCGCCCCATCGCCCCTTCCAGCCCGCCTCCGCCCGCACAGCACCCCGCGCCTCACGGAGCCGCCGAGCCAGACCCGCAGCCGGACTGTTTCCAGTAACTTTTGCAAGCAGGCGCTAAGAGAATGTACAGGCAAGGAGGCACTACCCATCAACAGCGCTGCGGACCTAGACCGGCTACCCAGCCAGCTGAGGAGACCCCCGAGGGCGGCTCCAAGATGACTACCAATAGGGCCGGGTCTGTTGTTTTCTTATGCTTACAGACGTTCAAAAACTGTTTAAATGTCTCATTTCTACTGCATGTGCCCAGAATGTCACATCAGGCTATGGGCTGTTGTTGCCTATGAATGGGAGATTTGCTACCTGAGGATACAGACACAGTATTGCTGCTTTTGCTAAGTGAAATCTTAGATATTGTTAAGGCATTTTAGTGCTGTGAGAGAAGGGGAATGAGCAATAAAGGAGAAGGAAGTGCACAGAGAGAACAGAAAAAATACTGGAGGCAGGAAGAGAGAACTGCTGCTTCCAGAAAAACTAGAACACTGGAATGAGAACACAAAGCTGGCTCTGGTAAGGGCAATGGCATATATTTCATCTGAGAAAGCCAAGGTACATTTCCACCTCAGTTCTCAGCTTGGATAAGTTACCTTCCACTTACACTCACATTCAAAGAACACCCAGCCTTACCACATTTGCCTTCCACAGCTTTTAATCCTATACTACACAAAACAGGAGGCCACAAACCTCTAACCAAGGTTAGGGGAGGGTGTAAAAACAAAGCAGCTTTCATGGTTTTGCCTGCTGTCATCCTCCAAGAAACCCAATAGCTTATTCTCTGATGTTCCTTGTTCTCCTTCTGAGCCATTTAACAAAGCAATCTTGAAACACCAGCATCTTCATCTGTAAAGTAACCTACTTCACATCACAGCTTACTGGATGTTCCAGATGGCTTGCCTGTGAGGTGTTTATGGAAGAAAGCTTGGATCTGCTGCCAAGCATCTATCTGTGCCTCACAGTGTGCCTTCGGCTCCCCTCCCCACTGCACAGGTTTGCCAACTAGCAGGTGCATTGAGGCTGCACACATTGGGAAAAAGGGAGGTTCAATGTAGTGCCCTGCTCCAGGATAACAGACTATCTCAGGCTTTTCCTTCCCATGAGCTTGCAAACGTTTGCTCCCCTCAACTGCAAAGAATTCGCTTTTCCAGTTGCGGTCATCCTGGCCAACAATGAACAAGAAGCGACACTCGGCCTTCTCTAAAGGGATAAAGCTTTGCTGGTCAGGCCCTTCTAGTGGGTTGCCCAATGCATCCAAAATATCAGCAATCCCGGACTTGCTGACCTTGATGCGTTTCAAATTGGAACTAAGAGGTGGAATGATGATGTCCTTGTAGCGGAGCACTGCACCCACATTTGCCACTGAACCGTTGATAAGGGCAGTGGCTGTGATGCCTTTTAGGAAGGAGGCCATGGAGGTGCACAGGTCTCCACCCTTCGAGATTCCAAGCAATCCAATTCCTGGACCTTTAACCTGGAGATGAGAGAACAGAAACCACATGCAATGAACCACAGCGTGCCACTTCTTTAAGATGTTGCCATGTTCACAGGCATGTCTGTCCCAAATTTGGACCCCAAGTACAGGCATCTAAGTCCTGTGCGCAGGGCCCACATCTGAGGGACCCTGGGCACTGTTCCGTGCTTGATTTATGGTCCTAAGCCCTGCCAGGACTGCAGCATCATCCTAGCAAAGCTACTTTGCAGATGTGCAGCCCCAAATTCACTTTGCCTATAAGGCAGCTGAGGGAAGAAGAGGGAAGGAGAAGGCAAGGCTTCTTCTACAAATGCTTTCTTTCAGTGCAAACTGCTCAAAGTCAGCAATGACTATGATACTGTCATCACTTATGATAACATATTTCTTATACTCACCCACCCCAAGAAGATAACATGGGGTGGCAGCCTCCACATCAGCTGCTCTCCCGCTTCTCTAGTACACTTGGTATCTAACTCACAGGAAGCATTCTGAGGTAGCTTACTCATTAAAATGTATCTTAAAAAAAAATAACCTATTAAACCCATTTTTCTAAGAGAATTGTACAGTCCTCTGGAGTCAATCTAGAATAGGTTACCTTCATTTTCTTTTACACAAGGCAAATTAACTAGAATAGGAAAATTTAATGACCTTACAGGGTATTGAAAGCCTCTAAGGATAATGGAAGAAAGTTGTCTAATACCACAACTGCTTCAACATTCAAAGACCCTTAGGGGCAAAAAGGCTCTGAGACAGCATCAAAATTTAGTATCTTTCGTATCTTACCACTGTTATGTGCTTCAAACCACTGACTTTGAAACATAGGAAGGGAGAAATTAGAAAATACGGCTGAAACTTTGCAGCCCATTAAAAACACGATGAGAGTCTCAGTGAAGATGTTAATGGAAGGCAGTGGTACTGTTCCCAGGGGAAAAAAAAGGCCAGTGGAAGCAATACCTTTAACATTTACTCATCTTTCTGAGGTTGAGGAAGGTATTTGTTTTCATTCTCCAGAGGAACTGCCTTGTGCAGTTCTAGCTATTGTCATTGCTGCTTGCAAGGAGATGCAGAACCAAGCAGGTTCTCTTTAAAGAGGTGTTGATTTAGAAGAATCCCTAAGTGCACAACTAGCTACTAAAACCCACACTCACCAAATAAAAACATTTGGAGTGATTCTAACAGCATATAAAATACACAGCAACAAATGTGTACTGGTGGACTTCCTTGAGACTTGTGTCACAGAAGGTTACCGTGTGCTCCACAGCTGAAAAGGACATTAAGATCTGCAGGACATTCTACAGAGCATAAACCTAAAAGTCCTACTGGAAGTCAAATAAGTCTCCAGGCAACTAGCACCCTAGTTATGACACTGTCAAGGTTGAATGGAGTAGAAATTACCAGTATGTGACCTATGTGTCACTGTTTCTCCTGGCCACTTCAAAAGGAAGAATTGGAATAATCTGCCAGAGAGCCATTGTAATGGGAATTAAAGATATAAAAAAAATTAATCACAGCCAACTTAACAGCGATGCTATTTTAAATACAGCAGCTCTGCCCCATCTGCAGTCTTACAGGACCTAATGATAGTTCACTGTAGTGAGTCAATGAACAAACCAACCTGGGTGTGTTGCAACATATAGTTTACAGCTTCTTCAAAATATTCCAGGTGGAATTCCTTCATCTCTTTGGGAAGATCTTCATAGGCGTAGTAAGCCAGAGCCAGCACAGCAAAGCCATAGTTGGCCAGCAGGCATGCCCTGTATTCAGGGAGTCCTCCTCCAGTTCCATATAAGTCAATAATTCCTGGAAAGGGGCCATTTCCTGTGAGAGACCACATAACAGGGCACATTAACCTACAATTCTTAATTTATATGCCAATATCATAGGCCTGGGAATGTGTCTTGTTAAAAAAAGAAAAAAACCTAAAGCAGCAGAATAGCGTTAAGAGTCCTAAATTACTGTGCCAGTTTTAATTAAATAGCTGCATTGCTTCAAGATGTTAAACAAGCCAGCACAAATTAGCAGGCCTGGTAATGTTTTGGATAACATCAGGGAACATGTGGCTGGATGAGAAGGGGTCTTTTGACAGTCACAACTAGTTCTCTGTATTATGTAAATTCACTGCAAAGGTATCAAGGTCTGCTTCAATTATACCCAGGAGGCTTTTCCTTGCTGCATTTCTCAGTATCCCAAAAAATCTCCCCTTCTGATGATTTCAACTTCTCAGTTTCAGAACCATTTATTCTGGGATTAAGAGAAGTATTTGAAACCAACCTTGCTAACCCTGGTAAGAGAAGCTTTACATTAGGTTCATCAGGGACTGCAGCAAACTGCTAACAAAGTATGGAAAGGACGAGGCCAAGAGGGAGGCTCCCATTCCTGCTCAGGAGGGAAGGTGAGGTTTCCCTCAGGTGTCTGCAGACTAACATGGAGAACATGGGCAACAAGCAAGAAGAACTGGAAATTCAGCTCCAGCCTCAAGGCTACAGTGCAGTCAGAGCCCAGGACACTGGCTGGGACAGCACATATGATTTTAGTGCTATCATGGAGGAGCTGCCAGGGACAGACAGGGAAGAAAGGGGAAGGCACATGATATGTAGAGATGCTCTTTGAGTACATGGGGTTCCAGAGACATGCTTGATGAAAGCCTCTGGATCACAGGAGAAAGGAAAGCTGGGATGTGGCGGTGGTGCAGCTGCTGCAAACCACTCAACCAAGGGGATGAGGTTTCCTACAGACAACTAGCAGAAATCTGGACAGCTGCTGGAAGGACAACACAGCATTTTTCAGGCAATCTGAAAACCTCACAGACCCTTGTAATAATTACTTTCTGACAAAAATACTCTAAGAGCAAACCTGTCTAATGCTTTCCCTAATCTGCTCACAAACAAGGAAGAACTGGGGACAAATGTGGCAGCAAAAGGCAG